CCCCAAAACCCCAAAACCCCAAAACCCCTAAAATAATTAAAATAAAAAAATATTTTAACAAATGGGCTGCTGATGCTGAAAGAAAAAGAAACCACAGGCTTTACCCCCGATGACTGATCTTGAACTTCCAGTTCCGAAGTAGGTGAGAACAGTTACTTTTAGCTTTGAAGAAACAAAGTTTGCTCAGCCATCAACCGGAGATCTGATTAATCACCTGACTGATCGTCCAAGTCCAAGGAAGCCTAAGCCTAAGCCTAAGAAGCCAGCTAAACTGGATGTTTACAAGTTGTTACCAAAAGGTAAATATTTTAAGCATAAGCTATGATATTTCTGTATCATAACCTCTCTTCTTTAGATATGTATTCTTATTACGAGAAGAAGGGATTACCAGATGCACCAGCAAAGCTTGATCAGTACCTAAAAGATGTCTATTTCACACTCAATTTATGAAGACAGGATCCTATTTTCTTTGTAAACAACTTCCTGGAACCCATGAGGGGCAGATATTCCAAGAGCAATTACTACAAGGACTTTATGAACAACTCAAAGTTTACAGTTGAAGGAATTTCTGAAACTGATGAAATAATTGATAAATTATCTGCAAAGAATGTTCCAAAAACAAGCCCTCTTGAGTGGAACGCATCTCTCTGAGAGTTATGCGAGGCATTGATTGGCACACTAGAGATAGAGAACTATAATACCATCAAGTCTGGAGGTGTCTACGAATGAGATATTTCTAGACATGGGATCAACCCTACATCGAAAGTTTATGATTATATAGAAGTTGGGTCTCAGATCGGCTTTGAAGCACTTTCTCGCATAACTTTCTATGATCATGAAAACAAGATCTCTATTCGTGATGAAAATTGGAAATAACGTATTGTGTTTAATAATATTTAGATTGGCATAGTATTCAAAGAACGAGTGGGAAGCTACCAGAACGTAACTTACATAATTCTAGGAGATGCAGCAATTGATGATTTCACACCAGTTCCTCAACAAGTATCCTCATCAGCTGCTGAGCCAACTAATCTTAAGAGATGGTATCAAAACGTTCCTCAGAAGGGACCTCAAGAGCCCAGCTCAGGTTTACGTAACTCAATAGCTCATAATGATAAAACTAATGACAACTCGACAGCTCCTGTATTGGACCAATACAACTCAAACTTCTTAAATGAACTTTGGCCTGAGGTTGAAAAATCAAAGCCAAGCGCTATTGAAGAATTCAAGCCCAAATATTTAATGGGAAACACAGGCAGAGCTTCTCCCATTAGAGTCTCCCTCGATGAACGGTTGAATCAATTTAAAGCAGAGAATCTAGACAGGAAGAAGATCATCCAGAATGCTGATCTCAAATCTCCTGAATATTTCAAAGTTAATAAAATAAATTTCAATTATCCTTCTTGATTAAGGGGTTTTGGGGTTTTGGGGTTTTGGGGTTTTGGGG